TGAGAAACGACACGAGTGCCACTTGTCGCCAAGTTCTGGGAAATCGAACGAGTTCCGAGACTAGAAAGAGTATCTCTGGTCCTTCGAGACAAGCCCTTTTCGCGAAAGGCCATTCCTCGCAAGACTTACGATCGGTTACCGCCGAGTGCGCGCTGTAATTTGCAACAAGAATGGTGGCCACTGCCACTTGCCACTTACCACTTGCCGCTTGAAATGTTGGCTGCAACCCGGCCGGCCGTCGGTCCAACCTTCCAAATTCCCTGTAATTTGCTTTCCGCAAGGGGCCGTTTGGCCATTTCGGTTGCCGTTTTCGGTTGTTATGGCCACTTGCAACACACTGAGGCACACACACACATACTGGGGACCGACCGACCGGGCTGAGCAACATCATCATCACGTAGCACGTAGCATGAGGCACGAAAAACGAGGAACGAGAAGCGAAAGAAAAATATCTGAAAAATTGATTAAAGTTCTTGCAACGCGCAAGCGGCATCAATTACCTGTTGCGGTTTGGCTCTGAGGTTTGGCAACAGCACTGGGCTCCTGCCACCAGGGGGGTGGGGTGGGGGGGGAGGAGGAGGAGGGTAAGGGGGCACAAATATGATTACATCGCTTGGCTTTCAGTTCGAAGCATTCTTTCGTCTTTTTGGAGGTAGCCCGGCATAATCGAGTTAGATATGTTGTATCCGCGAGATACACCGTGAGAAGAGGAGGATGGTTCCACGAGATACACCTGGAGAAGAGGAGGATGGTACCTCTCAGTGTAGGGAGAACTCGGAACCAGTTTCCAACGCGGCTCACAAGACTTTTCCTCACACTTTTTATGGTTTTTTTTTTTTTTTTGATTGATGATATTACATTTCCAACTCGTGTGTGTGTGCACCCTTCGCCCCTCTCTCCCCCTGTCCTTGGAAGAAAGCGCTTAATTGCTTTTGAATGCTTTCCGTGAGTTGCATTTGCCGCCGCCAGCGAAATCCGAAAAAAAGACTGGAAAAATAAAAGAAAAGACTTGAGGTTGGGGCTTGTTTTTGTATAAAATGTAAAATCATTAAGGCAAGCTTGGGAGTCCACGGGGCACAGTTTGGGAGGCACTGCCACAGCCAAATGCCAAACTTCCAACAAAGAGACTCTTTGTGGCGAGTATCTGGCAGATACCTCTCAGAAAAGACCAGAAGTTGCAACACCAACGACAATTCAACAAAGTATCTGAACTGTATGGCTTGGACAAATAAAAGAAGCAGCCATGGGGCACAGGTCTAGGGGAAGAGGCACAACTACCTCGAGAGTACCGGGTGTTGCACAGTGCGCGGGGCATCTGGCTGGAAAACTCCCTTCACATTTTGCAACATTTTCCAAACTTGAAGTAGCAATGTGGCTGCTGGAAGTTGCCGAGGGCCAAGGGCCGAAGAAAGACAATTTGCTGCATCATTAATGGAGTCGGTCTGGAGTGGGCGGGGCAGCACTCCGCTCTCGGATCTCCAACCGCCCCCGCACCCCCCCTGGATCATTGGGTAAATATCAACAAGCGTCTGTCCGCGTCTGCGACTAAAAGATTTTTTCAATTCCTGGAATTTAATCAAGGTGCATCTTCACTGGACCCAGAGACACGAGGAGACTTAAGGAGGGGTTGGGGGCAGTAAGAAAGACCGCTGGCGGTCGTCGTCAGCCTTTGTTGTTATCGAAGTTTGTGGCACTGAGAAAAATTTGGGAACGGTTCTTGAATATCTGTAGAGAGATATCTAGGGGAGGTGTTGAAAGGTATTTTTAGAAGAATCTTGAAGATACAATTTAGAAGAAAAGTTGTAGATATAGACGGGGAGGAAGGTTCTAGAGGTTATATGGAGTGTATAGAGTAAGTAAAGTATTTGGAAAAGTTTCCTAGGTGAAAGATGGATAAAGATTCTCTAAAAGATACAAAATACTCTGGTGAGTACCGGGTATCATACAGTCATCTATGAGATCCAACCCAGGCAAAACCTCTCCTAGATATTGAATCTCCTTCATCATTTGATACCTTTCTGGAAGCTACTCTTCAAGGAAGGCTTTAGTCCAATATCTGGCCCCCTTTTCTCTCAGTGGCAGTGCTGGGCTGGCTGCCGTATCTGCCGCATCTGCAGTCGTGGCTGCCCAAATAGTTAAAGGGCAAAATAAATAAACGTGGTAGTGGCTGACGACAAGCCAGCCCAGCGGAGAGGAAGGGAAAACAGCTCTTGCCTGCCTATAACGATGTGCCGATAATGAAAGAGCAAGTTAATGTTGCCACTATAGCCAGTATGTTGGTGTTGTTGTTGTATCTGTATCTTTCGCTGTTGTATCTTGAGCTGTTGCTGTGTGAAATCATTTTGTAGATGCGCGTGATGCGATAATAGTTCCCCCCGGCACCCTTCTGCCGTCTCTGGAATCTGGGTTTCTCAGACTCTTAGATTTGCCTTTCGGTGGATGGATCTCTCGGATACAGAGATACTTCTTGCTGCAGTGACATTTAATTGTTGCCACAGCACCTGCAAAAAAAAAGTATCTGAGAGGTAGAGTATCTCACGCTGCCAGCAGAGCGGAGGAAATGAATCCGAAAAACTGTTCCAGTTCGCAGTCGTGTATCTTTTGTGTTTCTGCGGCAGCTGGGTCCCTGGAATCTAATCAATTGTGTGGCACAAAGACCGGGCCAGATCTCGCAGCGACAGCTGTTGGTCTGCTATTGTCTTTTGTATCTAATAGATACATAGCCGGCCCGAAATGTATCTCATAATTTGAAGGGGTCAACTCCCCGGGTTCTGGCTGTCTACCTGCCCCAGACTGCCACTCGATTGTTCTCAATAGAGGTCGGGCCTCGAAACCGGTTTCCGGCGCGCAGATTTATTCGTAAAGTCCTTGCACCTGCAGGACGCCAAAAAAACAAACCAGAAGATACAGATACAAATCATTACGCAATCCGGAGATTACAGTGTTTGGTTTTGAGATTTCGGCCAGAACCTGCCCCGTTCTGAGGCTAATTTGCTGCGGCAGCTTATTCATTGCACTTGCCCCACTCCGAGGCAGAACGGGGCCTGTGCTGGCCACTTCCTGTCACGTTTTGGCTAAAAGAGTTGGCCAGAAACAGCCGATGAAAGCCAGCTCAGGGCCAGAGTCTGAAAAGCGGCAAGGGATTAGCTGACAAAGCGGCCAATCGACCAAGTTATTAGCCCCCAATTAGGGCCAGAAAGAGAGAGAGTGGCATAAAGTGGCATAAACTGGAATGCAAAGTCAGTGCAACTTTAGAGATACTTGCCTCAGCTTGAGCTAGAAACCGTTATCAGTCAGCCAAGGCAATAATTGGCAGACAGGCAGGTGAGACGAGGGTGGAGAGGAAGAAGGCCAGGACAACTAACTTGGCTTAGGAGGACAGGGCTCCAGGAGAGATCAGCCAGAGGGCTGGCCGGAGGTCTGCTTTTTGTGGCACTTTTTCATGGCGTCTGTCTCCGTTTTTTTCGAACTTCCCCCGCCCTCCTCAAGGCCCTTTTCATGCCTCTCCCCCCGCCCATTAAAGCCCTCGCCACCTCCGACCTTATCTGTGGCATCTTTTTGTTTCATTAACATTTGCGCCACTCCGCTTGGGAATCGGATGAGAATTGGGGAAGATATAGCCATCCCAGTGGACCCTATAGGGGAAATCCTCATTTTCAAGGGACCTCATCAGGAAAAATGGAGAAAAAATCTAAAAAATATTTTGTCTCAGGATTTTGATGCAGAATGATGGCAAATCGATATAGAAATCGTTTAAGGTATTCCGCTTGAGAATCGGATGAGAATTGGGGAAGATATAGCCATCCCTGTGGACCCTATAGGGGAAATCCCCATTCTGAAGGGTATAACACTTCGGCTGCACCCGAAGTTGGCTTTCCGTTCTTGTTTTTGCTTTTATTTTTAGAAGACCTCCCCAGTTTTGGGTTTTTGTGGCAACTCCCCCACGACGCACCCACTTGTGGCACTCACTTTTTGCCAATCTTGTCCAGAAACTGGCAGAAAGTGGCCAAGTCTCCAAGGAATTGGAGTCTCAAAGTCTTCTGTAGAACTGGGGGCTGCTTCCCGACTCGGTTCTCCAGTCTCTCTCCTGACAGTCTAGTCTTCCTGGAACTCTATAGAAATTGAAAATGAAACCTTTTCTTCCAGTGCATTGCAACAATGTGACTTTGTACCTCCACCATGCCACTTCATGCTTTGTTTGGTTGGTTTTTTGTGATCCGGACCTCTGTCTGCCGCAATTCCAATTTGGTTTTTGTTCAACAGACTCTGCTTTTTGTCGCTTGTCGTGTTGCAAGTTGCTTTTGTTGTTAGTGAGGGCGGGGTGGGGCAGGCTGGAGATGCAAAGGTAAACAGAAACAATTAGGGAGAAGGGCCATAGCCGGAATCAGAGTCCCCCCCAAAGGGTTACTATTGGAGGTCGAAGGTCGGGGTTGGTGGCATTGTTTGTCGTCAAAGCTCTGCCATTTTCGTGTCAAACGACTTTTTTTGGAGAGTGTTTTTTATCGGAAATAGTTGCCTCTTTTTGGCCAGACGGAGGTCTGCCTTTGTGTGGCGATAGGTGGGTGGATAGGTGGGCGTCCCAGGACCTCCATAGTACCATTGTAGAGCTACACAGAGGAGCAATAAAATAGAGATACCTGGGGATATCTTTTCATCTTTATGACGGTTGACATCTCCTGGATGGCCAGTCTCGCCTCTGATACCAACACTGCTTGCAACTCCTCCGGAGCTTCTCCTTCTCGAGGCTGGTGATGGAGTGCCTCGAATGCCTCCCTCTTGTTTGACCTCTGACCTCTAATGAGCTTCAGAAGAGGCCACCGCTGCCGTTGCAAGTCCATCCGTCATATCCCCTTGCAGTACACATCTATTCCAACTAATACCCTTCCCTCTGTCTCTCTTGCAGCTCGACGCACTTGTCGTTGTCGGAGGCGCCTCCCAACTGCCCCTGCGGCCCTGGGCGACAGTTTAATTGAAAAAGTTTTGCGGCATCGCCTGCGAAGATGACTGTGAAGCTGGCCAAGCTGTTCGGCCGCCACCGCAGCAACACGGAGGCGCACGAAGACCTCCAGCAGCAACAGCAGCAGCAGCACCACCAGCAGTTGCACCACCAACAACTCCAGCAACTGCAGCAGAACCAGCAGCACCTGCCGCCGCCACTGCCACCGCTGAACGCCAACATGAAGAGCCTGAAATACCTGGAGCACCTGCGCTCCAGCTACGGCTGCCAGCCCGCCAGTCCCGAGGAGGACGACGAGGACAACGTCTCCCTCAGCTCGGCCTGCATGCAGCGGAACCACCCGTACAACAACTCGCAGCGGCCCCTCCTCGGCGACCGCCGCCCCCAGCTGACGGTGGTGGGCGCGGGCGGCAAGAAGGGCAAGGCGGGCGCCGGTCTCGCCCCCTCCGCCATCGCGGCCCTGCCCCCGATGTCCCCCCCGCCCCCGCAGCGCAACTACATCTCGCCGTACGTCCAGCAGCAGAAGCGGGACAGCGCCCGGGGACTGCACGGCTTCAACGACTTCGACGCCCTCTCCCAGCACCACCTGCAGAGCCCCCCGCTGCAGAGCGGCTACCCCTACGGGAGCCCCCCCTCGCCCACCGCCAAGTCCAGCGACTTTTGCTTCGACCGTCCGGCCGAGGGGCTCCCCCCTGCCGCCCTCCGCCGTTCCATCGTCGACGTGTCCCTGTCGAGCGAGTGCAGCACGGCCGCCTCCTCCCCCTCCCGCTACTTCCACCAGGAGGCCCCCAAGCCGACTCCGGTGCCTCCGCCCGTGGCGGTGCACCAGCCCGCCCCGGCCCATCCGATCGTGTCCAGCGGCAGCTCGAGCGGCACCGCCTCGCCGCCGCGCTACTACCCGAAGGAGGCGCCCCAGACGCCTCTCTCTTCATTGGCGGCTCCCCTCGTTGGCCCCCCGGTAGCCCCCCGGGTGCCGCCCAAGGTGCCCTCTCCGGTCTACGCCTCCCGCTTCGAGGACGACTTCTGTATGCGACGCCCGGTCCTGAACACCTTCCACCAGGCGCCTCCGCCTCCGGCAGTGCCGGCTGCAGGACACAAGGGCAAGGATGGACCCTTTATCTTTGGCATCGATCCAGAGGACCAGGCCACCGACTACGGACTGCTGTCAGCCTCGCCCTCTCCCCAGATAAGCAAGAGTCCCCTGGTAAGTAGGAGGTCCATCATTTTCTGGAGAGGATCGGTCTCCGATCGACTGGGGGTTGGGTTTGAGGAGGAAAGTAAACAAATATTGAGGAGAGTCTTCGGTCTGTCGGTGTTTCCAGTGGCCTAGAGAAGCTCACTCACCTGACAGATGGCAGCTGGAAACTGGCAACTGGTTCGCCCCAAATCTGGCCAGAAGAAGGCTGTCAAGTCGACGCACAACCTCCAGCCCCAGAACTCGAGCAAGAAAACAAACAAGTCAGTCACTCCGTCAATGCCCATCCCACCAAGAGCCACCCCCTCCAGAGGAGGAGGAGAATTCAATGGAAGAGTGCCTCCCGAAGAGGCCCGCGGATTAAAGCCCCTCGCGTGAATAAATAATGAAATTAATTCGCGAATGGCACTGCGAGGAAGATGAGGATGAAGGGAAGCTCCTCTTGAAAGAGAAAAGCTTAAAGTTTTCCGACAAGAAACAATAGGTGTTTGGCTGGGAGAGTGTCTTGGCCTTGAGGGGAGGACTTAGTGCCTCCAGGAGAACCACAAAACCAAGGCCAGGGAGGAGGAAGTTAAGGAATTACACCTCGGCTTATGGAGGTAGGTAGCTAAGGTAGTCATGGAGGTTGTAGAAAGAACCAGCCAGGAGGGGGGGAAAACTATAGCCAGGATTGGGGGACAAGTGAGTCAGATTCCACATAAACAGAGGCTACTATAAACATAGACTTTGGACTCCGCTTCCAATCCGTAAACATGGCAACTGGCCGGCGAGGCTGAGCTGCGGTCTCCAGCCAGCCACTGCACTTCATTGGGGACGGTGACGATGACAATGCCACGCAATCCGAAATCGAATCGAGTTGCGAAAAAGCGTCTTTGATTACATGGCCATTCAGACATGACTGGATCAGACCCGACCATATATATAGATATAGATAAATCGTATATATAGATATGTAGAATAAAGCAGAGATAAGTGGTCATATCGATTACACTGCCCAGTTGGGTTCTGATTCAAGAGGCAGTTGGGAAATCTGAATAGATACTCTATCTGTGAATGGAAGACTGTCTTCTGTCTTCTCGAGACCCGAATTCTCAATAATTGCTGTTTTTGTTGCATGCCACTGACTGGCCACTGGCCCGTTCTGGCTTGCATTGGAAATTATGCCACTTAAGATCAATTTACCTTCAAGCTCCGAAAAAAACAAAGCACTTCGTGAAATATTTGCACTCTGCTGCAGCTGCAAATGCTGCAAGTTGGGCAACTGCCTCTGCTGCGACACTGCGACAAAATGCAGGTCACCAGTGTTGGGTTTCGGGGTGACTCGATAGCCCCGATAGCCCCGATTTGCATATCAACTTGTTGTGGGAACTTATTTGGGACTTGTAGCTGGTTTCTTTTGGTGTAACGTTGCCACATAGTGACGTCGCACTGTCTGACGAAGTCAAGAGGTGGGAGTGGGGGGAGGGGGGGTGGCCAAGCAACCTGGCGCGACCAACTGGCTAGCTGGATAGCTGGCTAAGTGGCCGAAAGATGGCCGCTCCAGCCGGTTTTCGGCGACCATGAGACACCCCAACCACCAGCTCTCGCAACAACCAGCCGTGCCACACTTAATGCAACACTTTGGCAACATTTGAATAAAAAGTATCTCCCAGTTCAGGGCTGGGGAGTTGGGGGCGTGCTTCCGGAATCCGGATTGATTCCCAGCCCGGGCTCCGTTCCAGCCAAGTTTAATTAACTCGATGGGCTGGGGATGGCTGGCTGGATGCAACTGGAGATCTGTGTTGTTGCATTCTAGCCAGACATCTGCCGCAAGAGTGGGACAGCTGTGGCATCCAGTTGCCAGTTGCCAGTTACCAGTTACCAGTCGCCGAGTTAAGTGCGAAATTGGGGTCGTCATCTTCTGTGTGGCACAGGGAGGGGCATGCGGATAAAAGGCCAGCCGGACAATTGTTCCAATTCCAGAAAGAATCTTTAAGGAGCAACTACATAGAAGAAGCTGTCAGCTTGTTGAGTATTTTCCCAATACTTTTCATCGCAGTGCCACTATTGTTGTGCCGCCAGGTGTGGCAGGAAGCCCCACTAGCTAGCTGGCTGGCTGGCTGTCATCGCAGTCGTTGCATGTGTAATTTGCTGAATTTTTAATTATGACACACAGAGTACGAGGCACACGAGGAGACAGAGATACAGATACGGATGTGTGTACGGATTGCAGATTAATCTGGCGTGTTGCATGTTGCATTTGCCAGTTGCCAGTTGCCAGTTGCCAGTTGCAACTTATCTAACTGTCAAGCGGTCTCTCAAAGCCGCTCTAAGCCCCATTCCCACCTGGTAGTTCCCAGCCCCCACCCCCCAGCTCCCAAATGTCAAATCAATCTGCCAGAAGGGGTACAGGGAAGGGGAAGGGTTACAGACTCGGATTCGGGGATTACATTTTCCATGCTGGGTATGGGTATGTGGCATGCAGAGGAGAAAGCTCCGGTCTAGAAGCGAGTTCATTTTGGGAGTCTGCAAAGAGAAAATCTTATAAATATTCGCGCAACAAATCCGACTTAATTAAGATCAAATAAAGGAGCTTCTGACGAGGCCAGATACTAGTGACGAATGCGCATGTAGTGCCAGAAATATCTGAAATCGATTTGTATTTGAATCAGACTTGAATATAATCATATCCTATAGCGGAAAGGAGTCTTGAAAGGTTTAAGAACTAGTGACGAGGTCCCCAAAATACCTGGTCTCAGCTTTGGTGACGAAATCTCATACATTTTTGCAGAAAATGAGACTAACGATCTATTATGAAGCTCCTGAAGAGGTTAAATACTGAGTATAATCATATCCTCTAGCTCGAAGGACTCTAGAAGAGTTGAAATACCGGTGACGAACTCGCACAATACCTGGTCTTTACTAAGGTGACGAAATATTATAAATATAAGCCCAAATCAGACTTAAATACAGGTGACGAATGCGAAATGCAAAGCCAGAAATCAAATCAGACTTGATTGGAGCTATATGCTCTGGCTGAAAGGACTTCAATACATCTATAGGAGTTGAAATACCAGTGACGAAGATCCACACTATCTAATCTCCTAATTGGTGACGAAATCTCAAACATATTATCTCAAAATCAGACTTAATTAATGCAATCCGTACAGACTTTCTTGGAATTATATCCTTTAGCTGAAAGGACTATAATACTTCAATAGGAGTTACAATACCAGTGACGAACTCCAACTCTATCTAATCTCCATTTTGGTGACGAAATCTCCTCGATATTCTCAAAGTTTCTATGCTGCACCTGCTGCGGCTCTGTTCGGGGTGCTGTCATTGACATTTCAATGCGGTTGTTGCATGCGGCTCTTGTTGCATTGCATTAGTGTGGCAGTGGCTCTGTTGTGCGGCACTTGTTGGGGCAGCTAGTTGTTTGTTGGCCTCATTGTCTGGCGGTTGTGGCAACTGGCTGTTGTAGTGCCGCTGATTTAAGTGGCAGCCACAAACAGAGTCGCCAACAATTTCCAAAATGCAGCACCCACCCAATCGCACCACTCCCAACAAAGAAAGTTATCGGCAATTCTTCTCTCTTTTCGGGAGTCTGCAGACAGCAAGGGGGGGCGGAAGGGGGACTTGCAACAAGTGAGAAGGGAGTGACTGCGTTTATTAATTGCAACCGGCCGCAGAGCCAATTAACTTGGCCGGGAAACCATTCGGTGGCAGACTCCTGCGGGCCCGGGGGATAAATAAAAATAAAAACACCTGACAGGACAGCCAGGACCAGGATGACCAGGATGACCAGGACGACCAGGACGACCACCAAACCAACCAGAGAACAAGATAAATGTTAAAAGTTTAACCGGCCAACACGGCGTATGAGCAATGTACACAGACGCGCCACACGGCGTATACGCGATGTGGCCCAAAGCTGAAAGGATTTAAAACCCGCCGCCCGACCTATGCTCGAGGCGGGTGGGGGAGGGGTGGGGGAGTTTATTGATTAAAGCAAATGATGACGCCACTTCATTTGTTGCAAGCTCACAAAGGACTTAATCGGATGCCATTCGCCGATCGGATGGCTTTATTAAAAAAGGACTCTGGCAAGGACCTTTGTGTCGAGCGGCCGTCGAGTGCGTGGAAATAATTAAAATTTAATTCCGAAAGAGATGGGCCAGACTTTGGGGCATGCATGCAGTTGCAGGTGCCTCGCATCAGGCGGTTGCATCATAGTGTTATTGCAACATTGCAACAAACTTCTGGCCGAGCAATGGAAACTAATTTCATGTCCATTTTGGCGCTTAACAATTTTGCTAGCCGGCATTGTTGTTGCTGTTTAGTTTTCGGTTTTTGCGGTTGTGCTTTTAGTAGCCAGCATAGCATGCTTGTCCTACCCTCCTACCCTCCTACCCTCCCCCCTGCTACCCTGCTTTTGAGGCAATAAGTGGCATGCCATTAAATAGACCGCAATTTTATTAGTTGATGTTGCAAGTCGGGCAGGGGGAGGGAAAAAAAAACAAACGAGGTTACCTCTCAACAAAGCAACTATTACAGCCGCTGGCCAGAACCAGCAGTTTTATTTAAACATGCCCCACTCCACTCCACTCCGAGCCTAGAACCTAGATGGTGTCCAGTCTCCGGTGTCCACTCCAAGCCCAGCTCCAAGACAGCTCCCTCATCTCGAATTGGAGAATATTCTCATCTCAGAAACAGGCCGCGATTTTTGGAGAGCACCTCATGTCAGGTTCACCTTCCCAAAAAGGAAGTGGCCTCCAGTTGGCGCCTCATTTGGCCACTTTTCGCATTCCCGACAGCCGACAGTCTGGCAGCCGAAAAACTTTGACCCATTTTTCAAGTTTACGGCTCGTCCTTGGACTCTAAACAGGACTCCTGCGGGCTAAGGTTTTAATGGCCGCCGCTGACATCCTCGAAGGAGGCTTCCAATAACTTAAAGCCGAATGAAGAGTCTATTGATTGGCGGGAGTTGGCCCGCTGGCTTTGGGCCACAAGTTTCTCAATAAACTTCCTTTTCGGGAAAGCCTCCTGGCTCCTGGTTTGATTTATTTAATTTTTAGGCCATTTTTTCGGCTCTGGCGGGCACTGGGAAAGTTTTCTGGCCACTACTGGCACTGGCCATATTTCTCCAGCAATTATTTGTGGCAACTTCCCCGAACCGACTCCAACTTGGATGTGGAAGTGGAAGTCAAGGGTTATGGCCGCAAACTTTTGGCCAAAATGCTGGAAAATTGTTGGAAAAAAAGCGTCTAAATAAAATTACAAGTACATGAGTATTGTTGGCAGGCCAGCTGGAAAAGCGAGGGGGGGGGAAGGGAGGAGGGGAAATGTATTAAAAAGTTGCACATTTGCGAGGAGTGGAGAGGGGGGAGGGGGTGCTTGTGACACGGCCCTCAAGGTTCGAGGGCTTATTTGGTTTAATTCCGACACAGAAGCACTTCGCTTTGGCGAAAGTTGCTGTCAGGAGGCAGGACGGAGGAGGCAGGATGGAGGACGCAGGACTTGGCTTTGACTTTCGGGCTTTTAGACCGAAAATGGCCAACAAGACGTTATGTGTATCTGCAGAGGAATTATTTTTAGTCGGCTTACGGAGCAAGTTTCATTTAATTTAATTCAAAGGGGGGGTTCTGTGAGTGATTCTACGGAAAGTTGATCAAAGTGGCGGGGGGAGTGGAGGGCAGTGCAATTTCCATTTAGTTCTCAAGTTAATTGCCAGATTCGGAGGACTCTCCTATATCCGGAAAGTTCAGAGCTCTTGGCCATCGATTGTATTGGCGATTCCCTCTGTCCTTTTGTGTCCAAATCGCTGGCCTCTTCAGTGGGGCGATATTATCGCCTAACAAGCGGAAAATGGCCAGCAGGAAAGGAGCCAGGACGTGGACGTGGGAGAAGGTCTCTCCTCGAGTGGACAGCGACAGGACGTGCTGCCATTGAGATATCGATTCAGATCCCATCTCCCAAAAGGGCCTTTAAAGTGCCATCTTCCGCACTGGCCACTTAATCAGTCCATAATTTATGGCCATTGGATTAAATCGCAATATTATTCATCGGAGGGCAGGGCCATAATTAATTTAAAGCGAAAAGTTGGTCTTTGATTCGCCACAAAAAAACAATAGTTAGTTATAATTGCGGCCATAAATTAAATTGCAAACGTGGCCAGGACCTGCATCTCGTCCTGAATAAATAAAGTCCTGAATGGTGAATATTTTAGAGAGCATTTGTTGCCACAAAAAAAATAGACAATGCAAGTGGCATGACATGAAGACCATGAAGTGGAGGCAAGGGAGCTGGGAGCCCACACGGCGTATACGGAACTTTCTGTCCTGCCTCCCGGAGTCTGTCTCCCGGAGAGCAGCAGCTGTCGTCTTCACTAATTTATATGTGCATATTAAATGGGTCCTTCGGAGGCAAAGGTGTCGCGCCAGGCATCAGTTCACACCCTCCGTTTCACACCCCCCACCACCCATCCTCCCAGCCACCCATCCACCCATCCCTGCAGCTTCAATCCGTGTTCTGTCCTTCATTATTTAATTGCCAGGGGGTGGGATGCTGATTGGAGTCTGAATGCAGCTTTAAGTCTTCTTCTTCCACTAAAATGTAACCTTTGACCCTGCTTCTTCCTCTCCACAGCAACAGTCCCTGAGCGACACCAGTGCTGCCAGCAGCGGCAGGGGCTCCCGGTTCCTGCTCCGGAAGCGCAAGTCCAAGAAGGCACCCGCCGCCGATGAGGATCCCAAATCCGAGAAGAACACCAAGAAGGGTAAGTACGAGCTATGATCCTCTAAAGATTAAACCCCTATCCCTGACTCTCTTCCAGCTGAGAAACGCAAGGAGCCGTCGGTCAAGTGCGTTGTGGTGGGCGACGCCGCCGTGGGAAAGACGAGCCTCATCCAGTCCTATCTGGAGAACCGCTTCAATCACGAGCACGTGCCCACGGCCTCGGACATCTATAATGGTAGGTTTAAAGGGGGAGGGGCCCAAGGATTCAGGCCGGTAGCTAGGGTGTCTGGGGCACGTATATGAATTTTTCATTTTGTTGAAAAGCAATTTGTGAAATCCGTAGCAAGTTTTCCGTTTGAAGGATGTGTCGAAATGTGCCGGAAGTGGGCAAATTATGCTCGGGTGGGTGTGTGGGTGTTTCGGGCTATTCACGAATTTTAATGAACGGAAAATTGGAAATTGAAAACTGTGGCTGTTCGGCAGAAGCGAAAAATATGCAAACTTGACTTTGTTTTGCCTTTTTTTTTTGTGCCTCACCTTTATCCCTCGCGCCCCCGGGCAGATGCTTAGATACCTCTGCCCTCCAACCCTGGGCTGGCACTCGAGGTTGCCCATCCCACTCCCATCCTCCCCGGGCGGATTTTAATAAAATTTTGCATGAATTTGCACTTTTGCTCGTCGGGTTAGGCCCTTGGGGGCTTTGGCGCCAAAAATTGTGTTATCCAAAGGGGCAGGAGTGGGGGAGCGGGGTATGCCCTCCAGATAATCGTCGGATTCCTGGCTGCCACATTACTTAATTAGTCCTTTGAAGCAGTTAACTGACTCAAGTTCCATGCATGATGGCAATTCGATTATAATATTTGCTAAAATAATTCTTCTCAAGAGGTGGGCCTTACTAGGGCATGGATTTCTGGTCCCCCTGCCTGTCTGCCTCCCTCCGACTGGGAATAGTTGGCGTAGTTTCCTCCGAACTTTTTCCTGCCTCCTGGATGTGCACTTGTCGGAGGAGACTTTGGCATAGTTGGTGGCCATTAGGCGCAAGTTTAGGAGCCAATTAGGGGGCCAGGAGGTGCTAATCGACCAGGTCGGACAATGGGTGCGTCAAGTGGTTGAGTTCTTTGCTAACAGGCTGGGGTGCAGGCTGCAGCATACTTTCAGGCGCAGGGCTCTTATGAAGTCTCTTGCCCCCCTTTGGGGGTGCCCTGGAAATCCCACAATTGGAGTGGAAGGAGCATCTCTCAGACTCAATTAGGTGTCAATAGGATCTCCGTGGAGCGGGCAGGAGCGGGAAAGCAAATCCAAATAAAGGAAAACCAGCTTCTCGGCTCACAATTACACAATTGCTCACTTTTCCGCCACCGCACCCACACACACCCACACACACACACACTCGGAGGATGCGTACGCTCGAGCGCCCCGTCGAGGATGTGGATTGACAGGCGAAGTAACCGCTAACGATGCCCCGATGCCTTTGTCCCGACCCCGCCATTGTCTCGTCCAGGCTCCTTTTTTGTTCGCCGCGCGCGTAAAGCGATTTTCAGCTGAGCTGGCAAACATTTCCCTTTTGTAAGCGAGAGCGAGCTGGGGTGGCAAGTGAATGCCACATCCCTGCCACACCCCCCTCCTCCTCCTCCGCAACGCCTTGTGCCCCGTGTCTGGGGCATTCCGGCATTGATTCGCTTTCCAAAGGATGGATAGTCGAAGGATGCGGATGCGGATGCGGAGCTCGACCCTTTTTGTCTTTCTCACAATGAAATTATGCGGAAAATGCCGCCCTAATGGAGGGAAATGAGGTGCATTTTTGGGGCAATCACACCCACATAGAGGGCATACTTTCGGGCCACTCGTCCCTGGTGGAGGAGGTAGTCCTGTGCCTGTGCCTGGCCTGCTCCTATGCCTGTGCCCTCAAATGTATTCATGAATTCCATGAGCGCTGCACAAATTAAATTTATTTTACATGAGCAGACCCATGGGCCTGGCTGGCGGAGCGACCTTCGCTTCAAACCTGCAACTAGCAACGTGCTACATGCTACATGCTACATGCTGCATGTGGCGGCGGCGGCGGCGGCGGCGAACTGATTAAAAAATCCCCTAGCGGGGCAGCAGCCGGAAAAACTTTATTTACGCAGTCCAAACAGTCGGAGGAGGCACTGCATCGAATGAAAGCCTGCCATGATTAACTTTTAGATAGGACATGGACACGGACACGGACATGGGAGGAGGGCTTAATAGGGCGCCGACGGCGAGGTCAAATCTGCTCGGCCGGGCGTGCAAGGCACTGAGAGAAAAGAAAGTGTCGTAATGTGGAGGCATCGTTATATTCTGGTTGAGATTTACATTCCGGGCTCCGAACAGAACGAAAGGAAATCAGGAGACCCGGAAAATGTTGGACTTCTAGTCTTAGTTGGAGGGCTTCGAGGGGTCCTTAGAGTCCTCCTTAGTGGGCTCCTTGGCAGGCTCCTTACCAGGCTCCACAGCGGACTCCATGGAGGGCACCATAACTGGCACCATGACGATCCCGCGGTCTATATCCTTCGGGCACTCGCCGTCCGCCAGACGGGCCACGCCCAGACCTCCCATGGCCGCGGCCAGGCTCATCATGGTGTAGGTCTCGAGCGGCTTGGGGCGCCTCTTCGACTGGACCAGCAGGTAGGCGCCGATGCCGATCATTCCGAGGCCGCTGTAGAGGCGGCAGGCGAGGCAGTTGAGCTCCTCGGACACGTTGTCCTTGTACCAGGTTGACAGCTTTCCGGGCATTGTGCGTCGTAGTCCGTAGTCGAGATGGGGAGTGACTGAGATGGGCCTTCCGAGTGGGAAATGTTGTCAGTGTAGCACGGCAAACACAACGCCTCCTTTGGTCCTGCCAAGCATCTCATTCAAATCATTCTCGCTTGCGTTTAAATATGAATGTTCTTTGCACACTCTCGGCACACATGCAGTGGGCGTGGCAGGGGTGGCAGCGGAGGACGAGGTCCTCCCTCTGGGGGCAGGCAGGCAGGCCCTCCCCCGAGCCGGAGCCTCGCATTGTTCCCTGCTCTCCCGACTTTAAGGCTCTTTAAGCTCTCCCAAGGATGCTCCGATGTGTGCACTCAGTACCTGGAAACACAGGCGCATATGTTGCAACAAGATCCTGTCCTGGGCGAAGGACAATTTGCATATTTTTGAGATTGAATTAAACGGCCCACAAAATGGCCCACAAATGCCACACCTCGAGGTGGCAAGGTGTCTTAAATGCAACGAAAAATACCCAACATTTATTGAAGCTGAGATTTATTTACTTCCCGACTCCTTCCAGCCGACGTCAATGTGAACGAGAGTCCTGTCCATGTGACCCTCTGTGATACCTCCGGCCAGGACACGCTGGACCCGCTGCGCGAGCTCTGCTACCCGGACAGCGACGTCTTCCTGCTGTGCTTCTCGGTGGTCAGGCCGGAGTCCTTCCAGGCCATCAAGGACAAGTGGGCCCCGAAGTTCGCCAAGTCCAAGGCCTCCCTGATTCTGGTGGGAACGCAGGCCGACCTCCGCACCAACCGGAATGTCGTCAACAAGCTCAAGGTGCGTAGTCCTCTCGGCTGGGCCCAGGTGTACGGCCCAGATGCGGCCCAGATTTTGATTTGATTTGATTTATTAAGCCCGCTGCGAGGGCTCTTATCATTATTTATCTGGGCCGTGGGCCGTGGGCCGTGGGCTGTGGGCCATTCAAATATTTATGAAATTCCTGTTCGGGTTCATCTGCCTGAACCCGGAGGCTGACTTGATTCGTCCTCTTCTCGTTTCAGACAAACGGTGAGAAAGCAATTTCGTACGTCGACGCCTGGGACTTGGCCACGTCAATTGGCGCCAAATACATTGAGACTTCGTCAGCCACACAGGTGAGTCCAGAGTCCAGAGTCCAGGGTCCTGGGACGGAAGCTCCTCATAATAATTAAAGCCAAAAGGCAGGCAAGTCACTGCTCTGCACTGCAAACACTTCAAAAAAAATATAAAGATATTGGGGCTAGCAGAACCACAGATACCCTACCTTCAGGTCAGAGGTCCTTTGGAATTATTGCAACTAAGAGTTCAAGGAAGGTCTTGGAAGAGTACTTCCCCCTAGGCAGTGTATCCTAGCGAATAAAAAAGACGGAAAGCAAACTCACAGCTCACCAGGGCTCCCCTGGGAGCTGCCCAAGCATTCGGTCTCGTCCTTTGAGTCGCCTTGTCACCTGGCACGGCTCACAGACACACAATAATCATAATTGTGCGGTTCTCAGCTCCCGGCTCTGGGCCCTCGGCCAGGGAGCGAGAAGGTCCTTGTTTGCCCCAACACTTCCGAATGAATGAGGTTCTCCTCATCCTCATCCTCATCCTCATCCTCATCCAGAGCTCTCCTGTCTGTCGTGCATTGCACTCTGCGTGGATTTCCCCAAAGGTAGCAGCAGCATCCCCGCAAAAGACGGGCTCCAACCAAGATGGAGCGATTGCAACAAATTGTAAAGTTGATGGCGACAATTTGCCGGGAAAGTGCTCTGGAAGATGAAATGTGTGGCAGGGATGGCAGGATGTCCGAGCTTGTAAAAAATGTTTCTTACAAGGGGACTATGGACTTGATGTTGAATCGTAATTTGGAAAACTAATACTAATTAATTTTCTCTCTCAAGCAGGACAAAGTCAAGGACCTCTTCGACACAGCCATTTGGGAGGGACTGGCTCCCACCACGCTGCCGCCCACGCCCTCGTTCTGGAGGAAGCTCTTCTGCCTGGCCTAGGAAACCAGATAACTCTCCTCATCGTTGAGAGCTGGAACACTCATCTTTGTACATACATCAAACTAGGACTTCTCGCGAGGAACAAGTTGTTATCCTCCACCGGAAACATCTGGCATCTCAACGTGCGCCGGTGGAATGACTTCCATATAAGACTTTTAAAATTCAAAACAAGTTGTTACCTTGAATAGGATGGTTCCTCGATTCAAATCAATTGCTATTTTGTACTGTTTTATATAAGGTTGTCAAATATCTCCCTTCCGCCTTTTTGTCTTTTGAATTTCGCGGCTATGTACAAAGCGCTACAGAGCTCGTATCTGGCAACACTATACATAATTTAAAAGGTCTTGACATAACCTACAAAACGACGCTATGCATGATTAGTTTGGATATTGCGTTCACCAGTTATAGACGTGTAAACATGGAGTTCACTAACGCCGAAATTCGCGCTATTTTAAAGTTTTCCTTCGTTAAAGGCAAATCCGCTAGAGAAACGTTCCGTGAGATTAATGGGGTTTTGGGGGATGGTACTCTATCACTTCGAACCGCGGAGGAATGGTTTCGACGATTCAGAGCCGGTGAAAACGACACCATGGATAAGCCAGCCGGCGGAAGACCTGTGACGACAAATACCGATCAAATCATGGAATACATCGAGTTAGACCGGCATGTGGCTTCTCGTGACATCGCCCAGGAGATGGGAGTTAGTCACCAAACCATTTTAAACCATCTGCAGAAGGCTGGATACAAAAAAAGCTTGATGTTTGGGTGCCGCATGATTTGACGCAAAAAAACCTTGTGGACCGAATCAACGCCTGCGATATGCTGCGGAAACGGAACGAACTCGACCCATTCTTGAAGCGGATGGTGACTGGCGACGAAAAATGGATCACATACGACAATATCAAACGAAAACGGTCGTGGTCGAAGGCCGGTGAATCGTCCCAAACAGTGGCCAAGCCGGGATTGACGGCCAGGAAGGTTTTGCTGTGTGTTTGGTGGGATTGGAAGGGAATCATCCACTATGAGCTGCTCCCATATGGCCAGACGCTTAATTCTACCATCTACTGCGAACAATTGGACCGCTTGAAGCAGGCGATCGACCAGAAGCGTCCAGAATTGGCCAACAGGAAGGGTGTAGTGTTCCACCAGGACAACGCCAGACCACACACTTCGTTGATGACTCGTCAGAAGCTACGGGAGCTCGGATGGGAGGTTTTATCGCATCCACCATATAGCCCGGACATAGCGCCAAGTGATTACCACCTGTTCCTGTCCATGACGAACGCCCTTGGTGGTGTAAAGTTGAACTCAAAAGAGGCTTGTGAAAAGTGGCTGTCCGAGTTCTTCGCAAATAAGGAGGGGGGCTTCTACGAGGGAGGTATTATGAAGTTGCCGTCTAGATGGAAACGGATTATCGAACAAAACGGCGCATATTTCAACTAAATCGGATCACTGTAACACTTTTTATAAAGCATTGAATAAAGAGCAAAAAAGCGGAAGGGAGATATTTGACAACCTTATATAATCCTTAAATCGGAAAACCCCTCAAGCCCCTGAAGCGAGGATAGCAAATTAAGTTTTTCCAAATATGTACTGTTTTTTACGAATGCCTATGTTGAAACATTGTTATAAGGAGAGGTTTTTGCTTATCTGTACTGTTGAAACCAACAACTTGTTGTTATATAGAATGCTTAAATCGCAAAGTCCTCTGAAATCCAATTCGCGAAGGTAAAAACACCAAGTTCTGCATATCTGTACTGTTTTTAAGTCGGAAAATTGCCTCCATCGAACTCATAAAAGGATGAAACACACCCTTTTTAGCAAAACGTCTATCTATATTAAACAATATGTTAGTTGTACCGTTTTGTTTCCAATTACGACTACTTGTATTGAACAACTTAGTTAGTTAGTTATACTATTTTGTTTAGTAAGTGCTATTAGTAATTTGGATGCACACAGACTGATTTACCTACTAATTTAACCCTAATTGAATCTTAACTTATATAGTTCTTTAGCTTACATAGAAAATTTATAGTTTTCTTGTTTTTTTTTTCCATTTTATAAATTTTATTTATTTTTTTCTAATTTTATTTAGCTTATTAGGCCTTTTTGTATCGCCCAGACCCACAAAAATGTTAAAACATCATTCCATTTACCACTAGGAACTAATTTCTAAGAAATCATAAGCTTAAAACAATGTAAACCGATGGCAACATCAAATAAAAGCGCATCACAAAACTATGCCTGTTCAAAAGTTTTTTCACTTTATATACTTTTCCAGAGCTTGAACCGGTTGCGAATTATAAAATGGCGGAAACACCACGTTTTTTAGATTTTTGCCGAAAAATTAATTGTTAGATTTGAAAAAAATTGGTATGCAGTTCGACTAATATTGAGACGCTGATTTCGAAAATACGCAGCGTTGCCAGATCGGAGAAGAAATAGAGATTCCAGAGCCCGTATCTCGGCCATTTGTGGTCCGATCCGGCAACGCTTGGCGTTTTCGAAATCAGCGTCCGAAAGTCTATCGAACTGCATACCAATTTTGTCGAAATCGGACAACAAGTTTTTCGGCAAAAATTGAAAAAATCGATGGACGATCTGGCAACGCCGCAAGGCTTACATCATTTTTTTTCGATATTTGCTGAAAATTTTTTTATTTGATTTCGACAAAGTTGGTATGCAGTTCGACTAACATCGATACGCTGATTCCAAAAATGCACGGCGTTGCCAGATCGGATCAGAAATAGGCTTTCTATAGCCCGTATCTCAGCCGTTTGTGGTCCGATCTGGCAACGCTTAGCATTTTCGAAATCAGCGCCCCAAAGTCTATCGAATTGCATACCAATTTTGTCGAAATCGGACAAAAAAATTTTCGGCCAAAATCGGAAAAAATCGTGATGTATAGCCTTTCCATTTTTGCGAAAAAACGGTCGAAAATGAGTTGTTCGATATCGAAAATCGTGGTATGCAGTTCGGTGGACATTTGAACGCTGGTTCCGAAAATGTACAGGGTTGCCAGACCGGGCCAGAAATAAAGATTGTAGAGCCCATATCTCGGCCATTCGTGGTCCGATCTGGCAACGCTTGGCGTTTTCGAAATCAGCGTCCCAAAGTCTATCGAATTGCATACCAATTTTGTCGAAATCGGACAAAAAAATTTTCGGCCAAAATCGGAAAAAATCGTGATGTATAGCCTTTCCATTTTTGCGAAAAAACGGTCGAAAATGAATTGTTCGATATCGAAAAACGTGGTATGCAGTTCGGTGGACATTCGAACGCTGGTTCCGAAAATGTACATGGTTGCCAGATCGGGCCAGAATTGGGGTTTCTGGAGCCCATATCTCGGCCGTTTGTGGTCCGATCTGGCAACGCTTGGCGTTTTCGAAATCAGCGTCCCAAAGTCTATCGAACTGCATACCAATTTCGTCGAAATCGAACAAAAAATTTTTCGGCCAAAATCGGAAAAAATCGTGATGTATAGCCTTTCCATTTTTGCGAAAAAACGGTCGAAAATGAATTGTTCGATATCGAAAAACGTGGTATGCAGTTCGGTGGACATTCGAACGCTGGTTCCGAAAATGTACATGGTTGCCAGATCGGGCCAGAATTGGGGTTTCTGGAGCCTATATCTCGGCCATATGTGGTCCGATCTGGCAACGCTTGGCGTTTTCGAAATCAGCGTCCCAAAGTCTATCGAACTGCATACCAATTTCGTCGAAATCGAACAAAAAATTTTTCGGCCAAAATCGGAAAAAATCGTGATGTATAGCCTTTCCATTTTTGCGAAAAAACGGTCGAAAATGAATTGTTCGATATCGAAAAACGTGGTATGCAGTTCGGTGGACATTCGAACGCTGGTTCCGAAAATGTACATGGTTGCCAGATCGGGCCAGAATTGGGGTTTCTGGAGCCCATATCTCGGCCGTTTGTGGTCCGATCTGGCAACGCTTAGCAATTTCGGAATCAGCGCCCCAAAGTCTATCGAACTGCATACCAATTTCGTCGAAATCGAACAAAAAATTTTTCGGCCAAAATCGGAAAAAATCGTGATGTATATATAGCCTTTCCATTTTTGCGAAAAAACGGTCGAAAATGAGTTGTTCGATATCGAAAAACGTGGTATGCAGTTCGATGGACATTCGAACGCTGGTTCCGAAAATGTACAGGGTTGCCCGATCGGGCCAGAAATAAAGATTGTAGAGCCCATATCTCGGCCATTCGTGGTCCGATCTGGCAACGCTTGGCATTTTCGGAATCAGCGCCCTGATATTAGTCGAACTGCATACCAATTTTGTCGAAATCGGAAAATTTATTTATCAACAAAATCCAAAAAATTTGTGATGCACCCGCCATTTTATAATTCGCAACCGGTTCAAGCGTCGGAAAAGTATAAATAGAGTGTCACTGCGACGAAAATATTTTTTTTTTTTAATTAGTATCTCAGTCATTTATTGTCCGATTTGGATGAGTGAGGTCTTAAACGACTCGTAGAAACCTAATTAAGCAATCAATGCAAAAAATTTTCGTTAAAAAAAATAAATGACAGATTTTTGAAATTTTTTCGAATAATTTACAAAATTAGGAAAAAAAAAGGACATTGCCGTTGGTTATGTTCTTCTGAGCTGTTTCAGACATTCCTTGTCAAAATTAGATGAGAATGTCAGAAAAAGAGCAAGGATTTCAATTGAATTTTGTTTTTTTTTACGGTAATTTAGTCAATTCTCATTAGATTTCAACGTAGAATATCTCTAACGAAACGGAAGAGCAATCTCCAACGATCTACATTAATAGTTTAACACAGTTGAAAGTTTTCCTTATAGACTAGGAAACAAAAAGGACCTATTTTTTTCTAGTTATGTCTATATGTTGTGCGGCGTATGGAGGTGGAGGCCGTGATGACTGGAGGTGATGCTGATGTCTTGATGCCATCCGTAATGCCAGCCCCAGAAGACATTTGGGCACTCCAGGGTTTAGCGAGCGGCAGGAATAATAACAAAACTCCTCCAGATGACTGGCAAGTGCAGTGTAAACATTTTCACAACGTCTGGCCAAATCTGGCTGGCAAACAGCATTAACTGCCTGTCGACGGCCCGAAGACAGCAACCTGCATCCTGCGACTCGAAGCATCCAGGCATCGCCGACTGCAGCAGAATCCTCGGTAGGCCATAAAATGGAAATTGCAAGTCGACGGCATTGCGGAGGCTCCAAGCGGCTTAGTTCCGTTCCTGCACAAAAAAGAAAAACAATTACAATAAATCAATAAGGGGGGGGATAGTGGGGCTGGATGTGTGACTTACCCTGTCATGATCGAGATTTATGGCTACTTACAAGCTCGGAACATGCGTTATGGCAATAAATAAACAATTTATTAGACAAATATTTTATGGCAAGAAATTGCGTGTAGGCCTGGTAGGTCCTGGCATATGACCCTGCTTTTGATGGCTATCTCCAGGATACAGTGGTGCCTACAGAGGAAGACCTTATTAGCTTGTGGGTAATTCTATATAATAAAGATACTATGAAAAAAACAATACTTTCGAGATACAGCTGGAACTTGTTTTGATGGTTTTCCAGGACTAGTACCTAAAAAAAATATAAACTATTATTAATTTGTTGCTAACAGGAACTAATTCTATTGACTTAAGATTTAAGGAGTCTAGGCTAAAAGATATACAAATATTTTAGAAACCCTAACGCTCCTCCCAGTGTCCACAAGGCCTGTGTCCTCCCAGCCTGTCCAGCCTGTCACTTTGTTTTGAGGGACGGCTGTGTGAAATATTGAACGAATCAATCGATTCGAGTCAAGGGCTGGAAATTTTGGAAAGTGCGTGCAATCCTCCGGGAAGTGCTCTTCAGTTGCCCATCACTTGTCTGCCGAATGGTTCACCTTGCCGGTTGGGTTTCTGGCTTTGGATTAAAGTCCTTTCTGGTTTTCGGGACGTGCCAATAAAGGGCAGACTGGCGGACTGGCAGACCGCCGGATTCGAGGCACGCGGCTATTTATGTGGGTCATTCACGCGCACGGGATGTGGACCGCATCCGTGGCCCCCAGACCGAGTGTGTAATTTACTTAGAAATAGATACAGATACGGACACGGATACGGATACATGTGGCACAGATACGCGGCTGGCAGACGCGCTTAGGGTCGACACCCCGTAGTCTGCTCTAAGAGAGCATTTTGAGTTCTTCGAGGGTCTAGCCCTCCTAGCCCAGCAATGGGTATCCTGCGCGTCGACCCTCTCTGGCGGAGTCCTTCCTGCGGCTATTGTTCCTTCAGCAAGTTGAAAGCTCTTGCGAGGAGGCTAAAACTTATAATCATGGCATCATCAACAAAATTATCGTTTTGCCACAGACAGCCCACACACGGGGAGGGGCTTGGGGAGGAGCTGCACAGATACACTCGCCATTTAAGAGCATAAAAGCGAAACGTGCTCCAAATGTGAATGACTCGCGCCCCCCCCTCAAGTGCTGAGGGGAGTCGATGTTGGTCTTTGGCTCCATTTTGGCTCATAACTTTAACTATTTTACACGGAACACACTCGACTCCTTCTTTGTTTTCCTTACTTTGTTTGCCTTGCCCTTATGTACTCCCCCAGTGCTTTCTTTTCGCTCCAGTTGAGCTCAGGAAGGAGCAAGGTCCTGCCACCTCCAGTGCTCAGTGTGTGTGTTTATTTTTTTTTTCGGCAAATTAACAAGCCAACAACGCCGGAACTTGCCACTTGAGGGTGAAAATTTATAGAGAAGCGAGTGGCAATAAAATATTGGAATCGAAGAAGTAATGACGGGAGTCTCGAGCTGAGGAAATCTCGGATTTAACGATACTACTTCCGCTTACCTCTCCCCGGATTTCCCAGCACCTCTTGCTGGGTGTATCTTTTCATCTCAAAAAGGCACCTGTCGTAGCCGTGTAATTGAAGCATAGAAGAAATCGCATTCGCAGTTCGCACGAACGCACTTCCTCGCAAATAGGGACATAGGGGGATGGCTTCCGAGGCGAGATCCTTTGCCGTTAATTGCAATTACTTCAAATATTATTTGCACACATTTCCGCGCCAAAAACCGCAATCAGCACCGCGGTGAGCCAATCAGGAGGGTGTCGGGAATAAAAATCAAATGATTGCCAAGTAAGAGGCAAGAGCGGGTAGTCCTGCGAAGGACTAAGCTCAGCCCATGAATATTCCAGATGGCGACCTTAACCCGTTTGCCTGCCGTCTGGCCCCCGGACATAAATAGCATATTGACGTCCTAAAGCGGCTTGGAACGGCTCCGGCTGTCGCATCCATTTACTGGCTTGTCCAAATCAGCACCTGAATGCAGCACCATCAAGGACCTCCTGCCCCCAGCCTCCGGCTCACTTCCCGTCACTTCCAATTGCAGTTGCCATTCACAATCGTCTGGCATGGCTGCCGTCCGATAAGCCCACTCCACGCCACTCAGCGACCCTCCTCCTCCTCCCCGCTGCCGACGCCTCTCTGTCCAATAAATCAAACATCAAAGCGATGGGATGGCCAACTTGAAATGGACTGCGAATTTATGCAGCGACAGTTCCCGCCGAATGGCCCGAAGCTTCAATCCACAACAAAGCAATGCCTCTCAGTTGGAGATTCCCTCTATAGGTCCTGGCACGCGGACCAGACCAGGGGCCACTCCGAAAATACTTTGATTTCGGCCCTGAAACTTTTTCTCCGAGTGAATCCACTCATTCATATGCAAATGTATTATTTTATTATAATTTCGACTAAACCTTTTAGTTTTTTTTTGGTTCGGCGTTTCTGGCACCTGCATAAATTTACCTGCATGCCGATAAAGTTGATTAAATGCAAAGTGGAAAGTGGCAAGTGACAGAGGCAGTGGCAGTGCCGATGGCAGTGGCAGTGGCAAGTGCAAAAGGGGGAGTCCTTCCTGTAAAAAAAAGGCTTTCAGAGGTGATGGAGAGGTGGTGGGGGAAGCATACTTTGCAAATAATGGAAAATTAAACAAAATATTTTCATAAAGGTGGTATTTTTCACAAAAAAACAGAAAGGAAAGCTAACTGCGAGGGGAGTCGTATGTTATATACTCTTGAATATATAATATATCGGATATAGCAGGCCGATCTTAATGGAATTGTAGGATAAAACAAGTAGCCAATAATATGGTAGAATCCCAATCATCAAAAACATATTTTTATGAAAAGTAAACAGCAAATAAATTAAAATTAATAAAAACATCGCCCTCCTCCTCGATTCTCATAGGGGGCACCTAAGCAGTGCCTTGAAATAATATTTGAAAAATAAAAAAAAAATATATTTAATTAATAAAAACAGCGCCCTTCTCCTCGATTCTCATAGGTGGCACCTAAGTAGCGCCAAAAAATAAAAATAAAAAATATTTATTGCGACTTTTTTTTTCAAATAATTCATAAAATAAATCAGTATTATGAGAGCTATAGCTATGTGGGATATAGTAGACCGATCCAGGCCTACGACTTATATGCTGAATTCACATAAGAGAAGGATGCAAGGATGTGCAAGTTATAAAGTTTGAACCTTTTCAAAATCGATTCAGGAGGTTATTCTGATCATGAAAATATATACTAGAGATGTACTAACCTTCTCTAAGGTTAGACAGACTTAAAACCAAAGCTGTTATACCCCCTGGAAGGGTATACAAACAAGTAGAGAGTAAATTAATTATGAAAAGCAATGTTTGTCAGCCCAGAAGAGTAACAAAAACGAGCAGTTTTTGTGGAGGTGCAGCAGCTCATGCCGAAGAACCATGGAGGCTGGCGAATAGTGCTGGCCAGAGATAGCCCCGCCAGCTGGTTAATTGGCGCGGAATCCACTTATCGACAACTGTTTTGCGGCAGCCTAATCCGGGCCAGAGCCGACTCATCCCCGGATCAGAATAAAAGCGGCGAAGGGCCCGGCATTCCGCTGAGAAGGGTGCTGCCCGATGGCCGAGGAGAAGCACCGCATGCTCTATCAGGGCCAGGACTCTTCGCAGGACCTCTCCCAGCATCCTCTGCAGACCCACCTACTGAATCCGCCCCAGCGGTCGCTCTCCTACTCGCCCTCGGAGCCGCCCACCTACGAGGACGCCATCGCCCCGCCGCAGGTGCTCGAGAGCTTCGGCTACACGCCGGACCGCCGCAGGACCTTCTACGCGGAGCCGCAGCACATTTGGAGCCGGATGGCCGAGCTGGCCGTGGAGGAGATGCCCTTCAGCGAGGCCCTGGCCCAGCTGCAGACCATTCCCGAGCAGGACGAGGAGCCGCCCGCCCTGCCGCCCAGGACGATTCCCCCCGGCCATCCGCCGCGTCTGCCCATGCCGGAGGTGCGAGGTAAGTGCTACGTATTCGCCTGGAGTCCTGGTCCTGATGTGTGGCTCTCTTCCAGATTTCTTCGCCCTGACTCCGCAGCCGAGGCTGGGCGCCCAGGCGGTGGACATCATGTGTCCTGCCTGCGGCGATACGATCATCACGAAGGTGCGGAGGACTCCCAACTCGCGGACCAATGCCCTGGCCGGCTGGCTCTGCACTTTCGGGTGAGTAGCTCCTTGCAAGCCAGTTCCTGAAAGGATCTCCAAACCCTCTTCCTCAGCTGGTGCTGCTGCGCCTGTGTGTGTCCCTACTTTCTCAACTGCTGCCGGACGACGAGCCACTACTGCCCCACCTGCAAGGTCTTCCTGGGCGCCCACTACCCCCAGGACCGCTGTCGCCACTAGGCATCGGATGGGTCTGAAACCTGGCGCGTCTGCCCCGTGTATGTGTAAATAAATCCTCTCGATACTGGTTCTGATGCCGATGCTGGTTCTGATTCTGATTCTGGCCCGACCACAAGGACTCGGGGCTTATTCGCTTGTAATGAGTAACGGAGCCTGGCGCGGCCGGAAATTGTGCTCCGCAAATCGAATTGCCAACCTAAGCTCACTCCCCTGCCTCCTGTGTCCCTCGTCCTGCCATGTCCCGCGCCCAAAATGATGCATAACTGCCCTAAACAAATTGCCTCGCCATCACTCTGGTTTCGGCGAACAGCGAGGGTCTGCTCCTCGCACATCCTGTCGCGGAGTGGGATGTCGCTTGCTACTCTGATACCCTTTACGGTTCTCGAAGGATAACCTCTAAAATAATCACCAGAATGGGTCTAGAGGCCTTAAATATTAAGGGGATTTCTGTTAATCCCTTGCGGAAATAAACAAATATAAGCTTAAGGACGATGGACCTCAGATCTGTGGAGGAAACTGCCCCTGGAAGGGTATCCTTCAAGCCACCCTACATGTCCCTCATTTGGGATTTTTGTATTTTGAATTCTGCGCCCATGTCAGTGCGATTTGCGGACTGTGTGGCTCTTGGGGGAGAGGCCGTGGGAACTGCATTCGGATCGCGAGGATGTGGAATTCAATTAGCGCCCCGTGAGATCCAGCCCGTGGGGCTTTCGAGTACGCGAATTCCAGGCCATCCCGGAGAGAGGCCTTGCTGCAAGCCAGAACTCGACAATTAGCCGGGTCGGGGGCAGGGGCAGGGGCGAGTCATAATGGCCATAAGCGCATTACAGCCGGCATTTCCATCACATCAAGTATACGCCTCATTGTCCGCGCCAGGGCCTTCACCAGAGCTGCCTCTGTCTCCCAGTCATAATAGCCATAATGGCAGTCACAATAATAACAATAGCAATAATAACGTGCCAGCCAGAAACAATGAGAAGCCGGCAACTTTAATTGGATTAGCTCTGCGAGGCGTTTGCTTTCTCCGTCCGGAAAGCCATCAACTTTGAAAGCAAACGAACTAGATACACTTTCTGCGGGTTCTGGGCCATTGGTCCTGCCCTTTCCTTCGATGAGCCAGACAGGGATAGATAGTTAGAACATGGCCAGGAAACTCATCTCCCAACACTCAGTACTAGCCTTGAAGCTCTGCAAGGATCGGATGTCCTGTCGATGAAGGCAACTATTTAATTATTTGCCACTGGCCCCTGGTGTGATGGAAGCGCTAATGGAAGACTGGCCGAAATTTTAAATTTTTTATCGCCTGTTTGCGGATGTTTTTTTGCGGGCCGTCGATGAGCCGTTAACGCAGCTGCAGATACAAGCAGAGATACAGCTATAGATACAGATACAGATACAGCTGTGGCTCGGATTCAGATACACTGGCCAATACAGAGCGCTAATCAAATTACCACACTGCCGAGCAAATCAACTGCAAAATGTTTTAATTAACAGTGGGGGGGGAGGCACCCGCCGGATGGGGCAGGCGGCGCGAGCGGAAGTCCTCCGCCGAATCGCAATTTCAGAACCAAAACAGCTAGTGGTAGAATCTAGGGGGGGGACTAGGAGTTCCTGGATAGGGATCAAAGGTCAGGCCAGTGCAACAGATGCATGTGTTTGGAGAAAGCCACTGATTTGTGCAATTATCGGATGGAATTATCGGCCAAACCCACGGAAGGGCCGATGAAGGAATGTTTTTAAAACGAAAACAATTTCGATTTCCTCCTCCTCTTCCCACTTCCCCCTTCCCAAGACCACTAACCATTATCCTGGCCCGCGAATCATTGCACTTCCCCGCCTGGCCCCCAGCAGAAAGCACGCGTCACGTAGCCGAGCAAATGAACTGCAAGTGACTTCTGGCCCTGCAGGAGGAGGAGCCCCCCGCAGCTCACCTTGCCGCTTCCCCCTGACTCCAAGGCCCAGGCGCAGGCGTCGGCCATGTGCCGAGTCCTGGCCCGACGGCTCCTCGGCCAAAACACAAGCTCGGCTCCTCGGCCAGATGGATATATGGGCCCAGCACCGCTTCGCTGGCTCATTCGCGCCTCGCTCGTTGGATCGAGCAGCAGCTCCCAGTGTCCCTGCGACCCACCCTGGCGGACCTCTCGCCACCTGGCCGGCTCAGGATTTACGTGTAAAGACACACAAGTGACTGGCAACCGAAACCCCAACAGTGACGCTTGTTTTTGTTGCCGGCGAGTGAGGCAGTGCCTCTCGTTTTTTTCTCAGTGTATCCAGTGGTGGTGGTGCGGCGAACTGCGCTGGTGAATCCCAGTGAACCCCCCCGGCGAGCGGTGCCGCGTTATTTCCGCTTCCGCGTGCGTGCAATTAGCGGCGGCGGTCCCGAGACAATGTCTGGAGGACGCAACCCAGGACCCCGAGCGGTCCGCCAACTGGTCCTCCTGCTCGCCCTGTTCTGGGGGCTCCTGGCCGTGGCCGGAGCCACAGGCGGAAATGACGCCATTTCCTTGGCGCCCAAACTGAAGCCAGCCGACGGCAAGGATCTGCAGCAGCAGGACGGCGAGGACGAGGGAGGAGCCCGCCCGGACAAGGACTTTGACTTTGCCGCCTACGTGAACGGTGAGTTTGCCCCAAAGGGTGGTTGTTCCAAAATGGAAATTAGATGCCCAATTGGCGCCTGAATGGGAGATCGAAAAAGGACAAAGTCCTATTTGAAATCAATATTGCACTGGCATATCCTTGCAAGCCACAGACCAACCAGAAATCTAGTCCTTCGAAACAAGACAGAAGCCTGGTCCAATTTGGGGGAATCCTCGGCCCTAATCCTCGGAACCACTGGGTTGTCAGACAACGATAGCATCTGCAAATGGATGACACAAAAATATTTGCTTGCTCGGCAAAAATTTCCATTCAAATGTGGTTGAGTCCTGCGGGAAGGAGGGAGGAGGGCTGCCCGACCACACTGACAAACGTTTTAGAGTTGTCACAAAACAACCTGCCAAGTGAGTTACTGCATTACTCATACGCAGTGTGGGCCCCAATCGGAAAGCAATTAAATCCCAAAAACACGCTCCCAGCGAGGAAGGGATGGAAGGGTAGTCCAGACCCATCATCTTGTTTACTTGTTGCACCACTTATGTCCCTAATCATCCTTCCCGATCGCCTCCAATAGCTGCAGGGTGGAGGCAACACCTCGCTGGCTGGTGCATCCGCTGGCCATAAATTAGGATAGGAGTCTGGGGCACATGCTATGTTGGGGGGCACAAAAGATGCATCAAGGATAAAGGATAAGCATAAGCAGGTTTATAAAATTTTGAAGAGGGATTATTAAATTGGGGATTGCAGTCTGCCATTCAAGAGCCGAACAAAGTGGACCCCCAACCCAGGCTCCCTCCCAGGATAAGCCCCTTTGTTATCCTTCCTCCCGACGTAGAGGTGCAATGCTATTTGTGTCTATTCGAGAGCACAGCTTCACTTTAAACAATCAAACCAGGCCCGAGCTCTAAGCTCCTTAAGCCAAGAGATGCGCCACAAACTCCATTGTCTAATTAAACTTTTGCTGCAAGTTTCGGGTCTGGTTTGGCATCAGAAACTTTCGATGGCTACAACTGCTTGTCGTGGCCTTGGAAACTCTGTTTTTTAAGCTGGTTCTCTTAACTCTTTCCAGCTGGCTGGTAATTGTTGAGCCTGTAATCAAAAGTAAATAAAAGCATCTGCCATTGCCAGGATTGCCAGGATATCACGGGAGCTCACCCTGGAGGTCTTTTGGCATTTTATGAATTATTTCGCAGCTCATTAGGGGGAACACGTTTAAGTGCTTAAATAAGCAACCTCCGACCTTTTCCACCTTGGCACGCAAAACTTTTCCCAGTCAGTCAGTCAGTCAGTCAAGTTGCATGCAGGGATAGATAATTATTTGAACGATTATTGGGATTTGTTGGCAAGAGGCTCCGAGGCGTGGCTTCCAGGCAGAGCTTTTAATTAACACTGCAGACACTTTGATTGAACCAATTAGGCCTCTAATCACATTAAACGACGACAAGAAGCACAATCAAATCAAAATAATCGAATTGCTCAGCTCGGCCAGTTCGAACGGAGGTTCGAGCTCCATTAGAATTTAGTAAGACTAATTAGCAGGATTAATGGGTGTCTCCCCACCCCCCCCAGATCCCTCGATCCAGAGCCCACCAGTAATCTGTGCAAATAAAGGCCGTCGGAATCGGAATCGGATCATCCATCATCCTTTCGGCAAACAGTATGCGGCGCAGTAATTGTTTTCCTCTTTCCAGGACTCTCAAATATTGCCAAATATTTGTTTGCCAAACTAATTTTGAATTCCAATTATGTTTCCGATGGGGATTACCCTTTCCCCCCCTTTGCTATACATTTTTGATTCGCAATCGGGCCGGGTCGGGTCGGGTCGGGCCTTTTATTGGCAAAGTATCTAATTAAATAAATTTGTTTTTCCATCTGTCCATGGACGGCCCACACCCGAACACGACTGCATCCTGGTGGCCAGTTCCCCCCTCTCCCCTTGCGGTAATCGAGTGCAAATTAATAGTGCTCCTGTCCCCAGACGATTGTCCTTGCCCACTCACTCAGCCTAATTAGTGGGCCAGTGGGCCTCGCTCTGCACTCCGAGAAGGAGGCTCCAAGGCTCCAAAGGAGTTTTGAACCGAAAATGATTGGCCAATTGTCCACTCCTCCCCCCCGCCGCCGCCCTGGCAGTTGTCGGGGAATTTATTTTTATATGCTGGTCGTTAGGAATAAAACACAATCCTGTTCAGACGGCGCTTTATCGCCGGCATCCGTCGGATGCTGGCCTCCTGCAGGCTGCCTGGCTTTGGAGCGACGGAGATAGTGTCATCCGAGGAGGGGGAGGAGGTGGTATCCTAAGTGCTGGCAGTGCCCGGAACAATTTGGCACCACGTTGCGTATGATTAATATAAATTGTTTGGACTTGCCGCTCGCTGGGGCGCCCGAGAAAGAGTTGCAAGTGCATCAGCCTCCAGCTCCGGGCTTTAATATGTACTCCAAGAATAATGTCTATCGATCCAGCAGGATGGCAGCGTGTTTTTGGCTTTTTGGCCAAGGAGGTGGCAGTGTCGTTGGTGGTGCCCGCTTCCGGGTGTTGTGGCTGCCACACGCCCCGTCCCGTCCCAAAGTGTCACATTACTGAAAGTGCGACAGCCAGCCGGAGACCAGGACTGGAGTGCTGATGCAACTGCCGCGGGGCAGGAGCCAGCATCAACATCAAGGGGGCCACATCGTGGTGCACGCACCGGGCTCTCAGCTCCGCTATCATTGTGGCTTTCATGTGCCAAGTGCCGGCAATATTCAGAGCCCCGTTTTTGCCACAAAATGTATAAAAAACGGAGTAGAAACCGAGAAACATTTCAGAAAATTCAACGGCCTCCTCCGGAAAATGAAACTGGTGGCATGGCCGGAGCACTTTCCAAAGGCGAACGCGGGAAAAAGGATAAAGAAGAGCCAGAGGCCAAGGCGAAAGAAAAGCCGTGGAAAGCTGTGGAGTAGATGTGACGGCTGGGGCGCCGACCACTGCGAGTCTGCGAGTCTAGACACCACGATTGTTGCAGCAGCAGCTTGTTTAAGTTTCATGTCCCGGCTGTGCACTCTGCCACTCAGCGAGGGGGCGTGGCCGGAGTGCTGCCCCCGGGGCACAGGTGGCTGCGAAGGACAGGACAGAGGCCAGGGAGGGAGAGCATCCGAAATGGCTTGCTCCAACGCACAGATTCGTGTGTAATTTCTTTGCACTTTTTGAAATTGTGCGACTAAAGCGACTAAGGAAGAGCTCCGGGAGACTTGTTGCCCGAGTCCTGGAGAGGACCAGGCCCGGGAAGAAGTTCATTAAGCTTTAAGACTGCCTTCTCCCCCGGAGCCGACTCATATACTTATCTACACCCCCACCACTGGCTGCCTGCCAGTCCCTGAGGAGCCTGCCAAACGAACTCAATGAAGTGATAAACTGGCAACATTTAGTCCTTTGTCTGCTCGTCCTGCCACTTCCTTGTTTTGTTTTATGGCCCAAGAAGCAAAATAAACAAAGGCCCCAGCAGCGGGGCTGGAAAAGGGGAGGCAGCCCGAAAATCAAATGACAATAAACCATAAAATAAATTAGGCCCGAAGTTCAATGCGAAAGTTTGCAAACTAACTTTCGGCCAGACTTTGCAACTAAAGTGTTCTGAGGTTTGCAACCTACGGTCCTCCTGTGCCTCGGACCTGCCAACGTTCCCACGTGTCTCCCCCCATTGGCCACAGACTTGCCGACTGGAAAAGGTTAAAGTATCAGTTCGATAATTACCCATCATAATGGAGCCCTGAACGGAACGGCCACCACATGCATTATTGAAGCAGAAACCCCACCAGCCAAGACAAAGACCTGCTGGCCACAAAGCAAATTTCAACAAATTTCCCTAACGACCGAGCAGTGCATTGTGCCTTTTCTATTCCCGCCACTTGCCACTGCCACTTGCCACTTGCCACTTTACCCGACCGCGGGACCGTTTCTGGAACGCACAAAGTCCATTTAAATAAATGTTAATCCCCGATTGCCGGCGCACGCACACATGCCCACCGGAGCCCTCACACACCTCGGCGGTCTCACCTTTGAACCTTGGCCCATCAAATTAAATAAAAGGTTAGCAGCTTGCTCCAACGAGGAGTGGAGTGGAGAGGGTGGTGGACACTAGCGAACTGACAGGAACAACTTTAGCAGAAAAACAGACAGTCTAGACTCTAGACTCTAGACTCTAGGACGTTGAAAGTAAGCTGACTAGGTTGACATTTTGAGAAGCGCGGAGAAGGGCGATGGCTTCGAAGAAGGGCAGCTACCTCTTGTAGGTTTCAAAAACAAGACTTTTATGTTGAAAAACTTGAACTACAAACAAACCAAACCTCTCTATCCACAAGTAAGAACACCAATCGATGTTGCTCCGCTCCATGCCACTTGTCCCATTAATATTTCAGGTTTCATATTCGCATTCGTCCAGACCTCCAGGGGACCTCGCCTACCTGACGGATTCCGGACGTCTGGTCGTGTCAGAGGAGTTGAAAAGGGTTTCATTTCCCATTGGCATCTTCCGTTCAGAGTGCGGTCGGTGTCCGACGTGTATTTTAATTGTATTGACTTTGTAAATGATCCATGCATAATGCTACTCGAAGACATCAAGCCCACCATCCCGCGAACTGAATGGCAGTATTTAAGCCAATATGACAGGCTACTGAATACCCTTTACAGAAGTTTTTATTGGTTAAAGGCTTGCAGGTTCTTGGCCCTTCGAGGTAACCCCTTCGCAGAGCAATAAAAACACCCAAGCCACACAAAATGAAACAAAATGAAAATCGATAATGAATTAATTTCACAGGCACCGAAGGCAAATGGCGCAGACAAATTTATGGCTGTGGGCCGGGGGGCTCCTTTCACCGGCCCTCCCCCCACTCTGGGCATTTACTTAATGGTCAGTTCAATTCCAATAATCGGCCTCGGCCACCGGACAGAGTGAGCCCTTAACGTGAAGATTTTCAAGAGCGTGGATCAAGTAATGAGCACATTTGTGATTTAAAACTGGAATTAATTGTGCCACAAGCTCGTCCAAATT